GAAGTGACGTGATCACTTCTCGATCCTGTGCCTGCAGAGAGTGGTGACTGTCACTCACAGCTCCCTGCAGGGATTCCCCCCCTCCCCTGTCCGATCCTCCAGCACTGACTGGCGGAACGGACAGGGGAGGGGGCGGGTACAGCTGCCTCTAGATAGGCAGAGGCAGCTGTCACTCACACAGCTGGGTGGATCCAGACAGTATCGCCGGGATCCGTCCCGGCTACAGCTTGCGGTATACTGAGCTTTGGGTGACGGGAGGACGCCAGTTTGTGTCCTCCCGTTACCCTAAGGAGAACTATGGGGAAAAACACTGACCTCATAGTTCTCCTTTAAGCATAAATATCTATGATACACAGGAGGTTTTCCTATCTATAAGTTTCCTGTATAATGCTGTATTCCTGTATATATACATGTAATGTCCTGCCAAGCAAGGAAAACCCAACTCAGCATTCCTCAAGATCTCAGTGCTTCCTCTAAAAACATAACCAACATTAGGCACTAACTCATAGGCAGGTTTTGAGAACACGGACCCCCCAGCTTACTGCCTTTCTGTTGGTATTCACAGATCAAATGATGTTCACAGTACGATGGTGCCAATAGGTTGCAAAGGCTGTTTGATCAATATCCCCAAGAGAAGCCTTTCCCACCCTTTGGACCTTGGAGGAACCCTCCAAATATTTTTTTTAAGTCTCATGGAACCTCTGCTGAAACCGATTCTACCTTCAGCTCATGATACATTAGTGTGACCAATATGTAGGAAGGTGTAAATAAAAGAAGGAATGATGCGGCATACACGTATTGCAGATCATCATAAGAAAAGGATAATGACAGCAACAACAAAAAACCCCAGGAGGAACCCCAGGGTTCTATGGAAGCCTGGTTGGGAAAGTCTGCTCTAGAGGATGGCTTGTCATTCCAAAAGGAACCTTCCATAAGTATACATTCTTTCTGGAGGGGATTCATGCCTTGGAATGTTAATGTATTACTTTACTATATGTAGCAGCTAAGCAGAACGATTTTAGGTTGTCTTTGAACCTGTACACATGGATCCCAACCTGAAAGAAGCACTTTCAGGGAGGTGTCCCTCTCATTTCCGGGAGGTGCTCCCCCCCCCCATCTGTTTAGACCCCCGATATTTCCCCAAAGCCCCCCCAACAGTGAAAAAAAGAAATAATAAAAAGGTAAACAACCCCCCCCTCCCATCTATGCAAAGACTAAAAATGTGTTTCGGACTAAATGAACGGAAACTAATAATGTTATGATACACAGGATGCTATTTTGGATTTGGTCACCAGTGCATTCTGCGCATGCGCGCCGCCATCCTGGTGGCGGGGCGCATGACGTCACATACCGCACAGGTCTGTTCGGGGGGGCACACTTTTCTGTTCTTGCCTCGAGCACATAAGGAGCCAGCTACGGCTCTGACAACACCCGGATGTTCTTGTACAGCTTACTACAAAGGAGACCGATTTCTATTAAGGTCATTTGTTTATTTATTTTTTATTTTTTTTGCATAAAATAAACCTCGATCTCTTAAATTCCATAGAAGTCCGTTCTTCTCTCAAGTTTCACCAACCTGCGTTTACTTAGCATGCCACACTAAGCCCTCGTTCACACCTGAACTTTTTGTAGCGCGTTCTACGCTCGACGAACGCTCTACAAAACGCTCAAACATCTAAATCCCATTGTATTCAATGGGTCTGGTTCCCACCTTGGCGTATTTCAGCCCGTCCCTAACGCGCTACAAAACGGCCCACGCCTGAAAAGGTACATGTACTACTTTGGGCCATTTTTGTTGCGCGTTTCCATTGGGATACAGCCAAGTAGCCCTCGGAAACGCGCGTTTGTCGAATCGCGGTTAAAAAACGCGCGACAACCACGCAACAGACGCGCATATGCAATACGCCTAGGTGTGAACCAGGGATAACTAATGCCACGGTGCTGAGGGCTACCATACAACTTCCCACTTATCATAATAAGCCTGACTAAGCATTGTGCACCTCAAGGTCCATTCCACTTTTTTCCCCAAATACACCACCACCCAACAATAGTCACATTATTATTATACAGGATTTATAGAGCGCCAACAGTTTGCGCAGCGCTTTACAATAAAAGGAAGACATTACAGTCACAATCACAATACAATTCAAGACAAGATGGTAAGGAGGGCCAAAATGAGCGTTCGGTGAACAAAGCAAAGTAAACATAATGGCTTTAGAATATAAAACCACCTTGACAATGCCCCAAGGCACATACCCGGTTTTCACGACGGAGGTTCCTGGCCATATAAAGTGACTCACAATGACTACGACGGGGATTAAAGGAGAACTATGAGGTCAGTGTTTTTCCCCATAGTTCTCCTTAGGGTAACGGGAGGACACAAACTAGCGTCCTCCCGTTACCCTAAGCTCATTATATAGGGAGCTACAGCTACAGACGCCGCAGCCGGAGCGGATCCCGACGTAGATGACGGGATCCGCCCAGCTGCGTGAGTGACAGCTGGCTCTGCCTATCTAGAGGCAGAGCCAGCTGTACCCGCCCCCTCCCGTTCCGCCAGTCAGCGTTGGCAGATCGGAGCGGGGAGAGGGGAATCCAGCCCCTCCCCTGTCACGGCAGAGAGCGAACACCGGTATGTGTTCGCTCACCTCCCGATCTACTGAGCCGACCCGTGACAGTCTCATTGTCACAGGTCGGCTAGAACTATGAGGTGAGTGGAAATCACTCATGTCATAGTCCTCCTTTAAATCCCAGGTACGCATCATGAAACTGAACAGCATTTGCAACAGCTTTTTAATTCGTTGGATTAAAGAGTGAAAGCCAAAAGAGAAGCAGAGGAAAGAGAATTCATAAGCGGAACCACCAAAATTGGTCCCCCGGGTTGTTGACAGTCAGAACAAGGAAAGATCGTGTTCGATTGTTTGCCATAGATTACTACAACTTGCCTATTGTTGGAACTGCTTCCCGTAGACAAAGAGAAACATTGCTCAAAGCATCCTTTAGTAAAGTCATTGGTTGATAAGCTCTGACAGGCAATGGTATAGAAATACTGGCAACTGTGAGAAATCTACCCCAGAACAACGGGCACCTAGCGATGTGGGTTTTGTGCTGCCTCTACCCTTCTAACAAAAAGCTGAGTGTCGAGTCAGGGCTGCAATCCTGTGGCTTCTCCGCAGGCGGTAACTGGAAACTCTACCAGGCTGATCCTCACTTCTCACTGCTGTGTCATTCATACTTTCAAGATGCTCCTGAAAACCCGTCTCTGCAGTCCATTCAACTCAACTGTCATCTAGCCTGCCACCCGGAGAAACATCCCCATCAATCCATGGTGGAGGCAAAGGAGAGACATCTGTATTAGACGCAATTTGGTGCTTTTTAAAAATGTGTATATTACAACGACCCTCAACTATTAATATACCATCATCACGTAAATGGCAAAAAACGATAGCAAGATGTCATTGCACAATTGAATTTTTGCAGCCTGCGGATCTTTCGGTGATTGCAACACAAAAGCAAAGAGCTTACTCATTCATAAGACAAACCCCATGCATGCTCCCTCCAACCCGATTCCCTTTCTGAGCACCATGTTGAAGACTTTTTTTCAAAAAGAAAATACCAATGCGTGCAATTTTACTGCAATTTTCTGCAAATTTACTGCAATTTTCAGAAAGTTTTCTGAAATTTTACTACAAAATGATGGCTCCTTATCCATATACTACCCGGGTATCATACCCTGTGAGCAAGTCTGTCCCAAATCGTATTTATTATGCCCCAAGTAGAAAGTTTAACAATGGAAAGGAACCAATCAGATTTCATCGTTCGCCGATCTGACTTCAGAAAACTGGAATCAGGCTCATTCAGTTTTAAATTGAGCCTTGTTTTTTTGGGGGGTTTTTGATAGTCAATGGAAAATTCAGAAACTAGTAAGGGAGTTAACTTGCACTTGAGATGCAGATCATTTACATAGTTACATAGTATGTGAGGTTGAATAAAGACATAAGTCCATCAAGTCCAACCTATTGTGCGCATGTATATGGTCCTACTGGTGTGTGCGTATGTATAGGTCCCTGTGTGTTCTCAATCGTAAGAGTACCTGTACCCCTGAATATTACGGTCCCTGAGGAAATCGTCCAATCGCCTCTTGAATGATTCCACACGCTCAGCCGAAATCACAGCATGCGGCAACGAGTTCCAGACCCTGACTGATCTAACTGAGGAAAAAACCCCTTCGCCCCTTGTGCTGAAATTTTGTCTCCACCAATTTTAGGTGGTGGCCTCTCGTCCTTGTCATGGAGTTAATTGTAAAAAGTTTGCTGCTGATGTTACTATCCCCGGTAAACATTTTGTACATGAAAATCATGTCCCCCCTTAATCTCCTGGGTTCTCCACCTGGGTTTTCCACCAATTTTAGGTGGTGGCCTCTCGTCCTTGTCATGGAGTTAATTGTAAAAAGTTTGCTGCTGATGTTACTATCCCCGGTAAACATTTTGTACATGAAAATCATGCCCCCCCCCCCTTAATCTCCTTACTTCCAATGAGAACATGTTTAAATTTAGTAGCCTGTTCTCCTAGCTCTGGTCCTCCATCCCCTTAATTAGTTTGGTTGCCCTCCTCTGGACTCTTTCCAGTTCAAGGACATCCTTTCTGTGGACTGGTGACCAAAACTGGACCTCGTACTCCAGATGAGGCCGAACCAGCGATCTATAAAGTGGCAAAATTATAGACTTGTCCCTGCAATACATCCCCTTCTTAATACAGGACAGGACCCTACTTGGTCTTCCCCCTTTGATTAAAAAAAAAGTTGTGAGGCTACAGGTGCTTTGGGTCCCTAATGGCCAACATTCGCTGCTCGCCTGTGGCACATGTTTAACATCTGCTAAGAATGGTCCTCTTACAACCTGCAAAAAAGAAATCGCCAAACAAACTTTTTTCTTTGGCATTGCGGGGCTAAAATATTTTTTTTGTCTCTCAAAAGTATATAAAGAAAAAAAGTTTTGCATTACCTTGGTTTCTTCCTTTTACGGGTTCAAATAATGATTTCCTCCCAGACGATGACTTTTAAAGCATCTATGTAATTTTTCTTGAAAGTTTCCAAAAGTTACTCGTCCCTTTCTGCAGGAAAAAAAAAAAGTTTATTGTTCCTCAAGCCTCTTCCCTCTTGACTTGCAATTCTTGTGTTTGAGGAGAAAAAGGAGGAGGAGGAGGCTGCATCCACCCTACTGCCCCCCTTTAGTCTGAGTGACTGGACTCGGCAGTGGCTGCTCCAAGGGTTTTGTGTGTGTGAGAGGTTTAAAGATGTAATTTTCCTTGCACACAGGCAAAGGCGCTCAGAGCTCAGCTCCTACCTCCCTCCCCTCTGGAAATATAATGCATGGAAAGGACTTGGGGGTATCGGCGACATGTGGCTTCCATCACCACACCTGCCAAATATAATAGATAGGAGAAAAAAAAAACCATCAGCATCTGTCTGTTCTTCCCAAATGTTTTTTTTTTTTTATCCTGCAAAATATCCCCGGGACTGTTATATCCCAAAAACAAAAACAACAAAAAAAGTTTCCCGTATTTCTGGCGCTTTGATTATAGCGAGCGGCGGGGCTTGCTATGTCCACGTAAGAGGGTCTGTTTGTTCTTTTTTTTCCCGGTACTGAGACAGTATGGAGCGCACATTTTGGGGATGTACATCGTTGGCTTGGATGTCTCCAGGGCATGGGCTTATATCAATGACATGGTTTTGTTTAGTAAAGACAATCCCCTTTTGGAGTCGGGTCGGATCGCAGGATCACATAGGAGTCTTGGATCACGTTGAGAGAAGTTTATATGTGTCAGAAGAATTTTTTTCGGTGGGGATGTCTACCATGTTTGAAGAAGAGCTCCAAGCAAACCATAAACTTTCCTTTGTCAGTGGGGTACCCCTGCTCTGCAAGGGTCATGTGCTTGTTTAGTGGGTTCAAATAAAGATGTACAGCGGCACCTCGGTTCACGAACGCTTCTGTCAGCGAACAGGAAGTTCAGCAAAATGTTGCCTCCGTTCGCGAACTCCTCTTCGGGTGACGAACACAATCGCAGCCATTTTCCCCGCTCTGACACATGGTCGTGGTTTCCTCTAGTCGAGATCACAGTTTGATTCAGTTCACGACCAAATCGGTTCGCGGAACGAATTAAGTTCGTGAACCCAGGTACCACTGTATTACTCGCCAGTCCTTCTGGGCTGCTGGATTGGTCCCCGCAGCCTCTTCTACCCTCTCCTCCAGTGGTCTAAGGACCTCTGACATCACATCCTATCCACAGTCCAACTACACTGCACAGGGGGTCTATTTATAAACAATTCGTAGAGCCGTTTGCAATGAGATTCTCTGAGAACAATCATTTTGTATGAATGGATGGCACAGTGGTGTAGTAGTTAGCGCTTCTGCCTTGTTGGGGGTCCCTTGGTTCAAATCCCGGCTAGGTCATTATCTACAAGGGGTTTGCATGTTCTCCCTGCAGGGGCGTCCCGAGGCCGGGTATCACCCGGGGCGGTAGGTCTGAAAGTCAAGCCCCCCTGCCTGCAGACCTCCACAACCACCGGCCAGGGTCGTGGGGAAGAGTCCCCCCTTGGAAAAGCACCCTCCCAATGCCGAGGGCATGTGGTCTGGTATGGATATTAATTGTCGGGGAACCGCACGCTGTTTGTTTGTTTTCTTTACATGGAGTCCCCCTAACATTCCTACCAGACCTACAGGGTTTGGTATGAATTGGGTGGGGGGGGGGTGTTTATTTTAATATGATTATTATTATTTCTGTGAACAGTTCTGTGGCAGCCATCAGATTCTTTACATTGGGGAGGGAAGTGTCCTGAAAGAAGCAGAACCTGTTACAGAATAACTCGGATCTCTCGGCTTCTTTCATTATTTACATTTTGTAACAATATTCCGATACTTTGTATTATTTGAGATACAAATGCAGAGAGAAGCCGGAGAGCGCTAAATGATGTATGTATCCAAATTTTGTTATCAAACATTCGGATTCGTTCGGATTCGTTATTTCTGTCATTCGTAAAATTTGGATTTACAGAAATTCATACGAATTCCAATTGGGAACGAAACGAATCGCAGACGTCTAGATGGTAGATAGTGTATAGTAGGGAGTGTACATGTATAATTACATGTATGTAAATTACTCATCCACTCCCTTGTTAGCTCTCGTCTTGACTATTGCAACTCCCTCCTCATTGGCTGACCTCTACACAGGCTCCTCCCCCCTTCAGTCTATCATGAATACAGCTGCCAGACTCATTCACCTAACCAACCGTTCAGTGTCTGCAACCCCCCTCTGCCAATCCCCGCACTGACTTCCATCCCTAGCCCCCCTCAGCCAATCCACGCACTGGCTTCCATCCCCCACCCCCCTCTGCCAATCCCTGCACTGGCTTCCATCCCCC